GTGCATTCATATACAACAGATCACCATAGTCCAGCACAGGTAAAAAGGTCACAGTGACTAGCCTTTTCCTTGCCTCAAGCGAGAAACAGGACTTATTCCTGAAAAAGAAACCTNTCAACTTTGGTACTTAAAACAGATAAAGTAATTATCGTAGGTGACTTTAATATTCATGTTGACGATGATAAAAATAGCCTTACTGTTGCATTTAACTCTTAGAGTTAAATGCAACAGTAAGGCTATTTTTATCATCGTCAACATGAATATTAAAGTCACCTACGATAATTACTTTATCTGTTTTAAGTACCAAAGTTGATAGAAACTCAGAGAATTCTGATAAGAATTCTGAATAAGGACCTGGTGCACGGTACACTGTAACAAATAAGATTGGCTGCAAAGTTTTCCAGGTCGGAAGCGTAAGACTGAAAATGAGGCTTTCAAAGGAGGTATAATTTAATTTTTGTTTAGTATTGATAAGTAAACTTGAAATGCTTTCTGAAACTATGGGTATTTGTAAATGTTGTTTCATGTGGAACTAAATGATGCAGGTCTCCCTTGTAAATGAGATCGATGATCTCAAGGGACCAATCTGTCTAAATAANTTGAGCACCATCTATGAAACGTCAACCTACCCCACAGCACCCCCAAAATAAATCTCTGGCGCCGCCACTGAGCCTGACTATTTGTGTTGGGGGGGCCCGACTTATTTTTTTCTCCAAAGGGGGGGGCCTGACAGAAAAAGTTTGAGAACCACTGACCTAAATTGAGGTTCAGTACCTTTTTTTCATCTTTGTTTTGAAAAGCTTCCTGCCAATGTGCTGCCTCTACTCAGGACATCACCAGAAAAAAAACAATCAAAATGCAGGCTATAAGAAACAGAAGCAAACAACTAGTCACTTAAAACAAAAATAAAAGTAAGTCATGAATACAACTAGGAAATATCTTCCTTTTTGTTTATATTTTACTTCAATAAACAGTAGTATCCACCATAACTATATGTTCTATATGTCCGCAACTACATCAGAGCTCCGGGCTAACCAGAGACAGTACCTCAAAACAGCTACAGGAACCAAACAATAAATGATTGTAAACATGCCACACCGTTATACAAAGCAGACATTCGGGATGACATTGGATACCCTTATGAAGGAACACCAAACAGTTATTGAACTTCTGAGAAGTCTTTTTTCTCCAGAGCAGAACGGGGTCTCTGGCCTTGGCCGTGTCACAAGGTTTATGATCACAACACACGGAATAGTTTACCTTCACATAATTCCTCTTTCACAAGTGAAATGATTACTCCTGCATGTTGACACTCAGGAAGACTGATGCCTTCCCTCTGTATTCAGTGCATGTGGTCATGGGGTAATACATCTCAAAGTGAAGCCACTGAGCTTGTTTTCTCTCAAATTCATGACGGGAGCCAAAAGTTGACATTCTTTGCAGACTCTCCCACTGGGTGACATCACAGTCCTCTGACCGCTTGATATAAACTGAACTTACAAATTCGACTCATTAGAACATTGGCAAACCTGGCTGAGTACAAACACTAGCCTCAAGCATAATCAAATTGTAAAAAGATGTTGTAAAGTAAATTGCAACTTGGACGTGTTTTGTTAGCTGACGGCAGTGTTCGGGGATTAACAAGGACTTGTGTTTGTTTAGGATGGGCCTTTATGAGTCAATCATTTTATCTCATGCTGAATATATTAATGTCTATTTGTAACTCCAAGAAAGACTAAAGAGTAAATAAGATCATGGTTGCAGCTACATTTCGAAGATATAATTGCACATAAAGTAACAAGAGACATGTCAGTGATGATTAATACATCATTTTGAATGGAAACAAAACTTTCTGATCACAAATCATTTGACTTCGACAAACATGATGTACTTCAAACAACATCCCTGATTTAGTGTGGCCAACGCTTTAACTATTGCCTGGGAGTGCTGTGATTTTGTAGCCTGTATGTCTTTTTAAAGGATTAGATTCAAAGGCAAATACTATTTGACCACACTATTTTCATTTAATTTCAAACCTTTATTTAGACAGATTGGTCCCTTGAGATCATCGATCTCATTTACAAGGGAGACCTGCATCATTTAGTTCCACATGAAACAACATTTACAAATACCCATAGTTTCAGAAAGCATTTCATTTAGACGTGCCTTAAAATACATTCAGAGAAATAAAAATGNAATGGCATTTAAAATCAATCATTAAAAAAAAAAGTAATAAAATAAACATTATTCCTATCTTAGACTGCACTGTAACTTTTATCCATGTATTTTTTCTTTTAATGTTTATTTTATTACTTTTTTTTTTAATGATTGATTTTAAATGCCATTTTCTTAATGTCTTTCATTTTTTTGTAAAGCACTTTGAATTGCCTTGTGTTGAAAAGTGCTATATAATTACACTTGCCTTGCCTCTCAGCTGGAATTTGGGCATAAGATGAGGTTTGAGTCTGCGTGATCTGCGTGTAGGGAGGGGCAGCAGCCATATCGTTAGCTAGAACTAGCTGGATCTGACAGACAGACAGACCCGCTGTGAGGGACCGGTGAGCGGAGCAAAACACACCTTTAGACCCAACACATTTAGCTATGGCACTGTCGTATACATTGAATTATTCCATTTGATAATATGTAATCAAATCCCCAAAAAATATATATATATTCATATCCGAATACCTGAATAATTTCGAATATTCGATTAATCGTTCCCATCCCTAGTGTATAGTGTGATTCTTTGTAGTTTATTTATGGCATCCCGTTGGATTTGACGTCATCTGAACAGGACATTGCACGCTCGCTGCTTGATAAAGTGTGTCGCCAATGTAACCGGTTAAAACTCAAAGTGGCGATGAGGTCTTAAAATGTATGGAAAGGGTCTTAAAAAAGGTCTTACATTTGACTTCAGGATTCCTGCATATACCCTGTATGTACAATTATTTGTATTTTTTTGTTTGGCCTTATGATTGCTAAAATTGGACAACCATTTTAGTTTTCACTTCATATAGCACTGTAAATTGCATGAAATGAGTTGTTTTCTTTTGGTTTTCTNGTAGGTTGACGTTTCATAGATGGTGCTCAAACATTTAGGGTTTCCCATTAATGTACCGGGCGCTACAGTGGAATTTTCTACTTTGAGAGCAAAATGAAGAAATCTATGGATACATCTCTCAACACCCATTTGAAACAGAACTGTAAACAGTATTTT